GAAGAAAAACAAAGAGGTACTTGAGTACCATGTTCGAATGCCAATCCACGTTCAAACATTTCCTTGAATTAATTGAGGACCCTTGGAAGAGTACAATGGTTTATGGCATGTTGCAATTACTCTCAATAGAAGAACAAAGGCCACTTGAGTAGGAAGTTCAAACTCCATCTGGCGTTCAAACGCCCATCAAGGAAGACAGGAGGCAATGTTCGAACGCCATCTAACGTTCAAACGTTGTCCCCAAATAGGCAACAGAGTGGTTGATTTTCTATCCGGACCTTAGGGCATTCATTTGGACTTTAAAGACCTTCTACTATTCTTTCACATTTCCTTGCCCCCTCCTCCTTGCCTATAAATACTCCCATTGTGCTTCAAGGGAGTAAAACTTAGAGTTAGTCTTAGACTTAGACTTACACTTGCATACACTTGCACTTAGCTATAGGTAGAGGAAGATAGATCATCTTTTGGTTGAGGAGGAAAACCTCTAAAAGTGACTAGCTTTCCTCTACTTTCATTATTAGTTGCACTTGCTTCTATTGTTTGAGCTTCCTTCTTCCCTTAGAGGAGTGAAACTCGTCCACTTTGTTAGAGTTTTACCAAAGTCATGAAGGGTGGAATGTGATTCACTCATTCTTTATCGAAGATCGATTCCTTGTGTAGTATGTTTTACCTTATAACTCCTCTACTTGGAGGAATAAGAATCCCTCACTTTTCTTACTTTACCAAAGCCATGAAGAGTGATCAGTTTTTCATTCACTCTTTAGTAAGAGGTGATGGCCATGTATAAATCGTTTGAAAGTTATATTTGTGCATTTCGTTTATGTTTAATGCTCTATCTCTTACTTGTTTAATGAATGATTGAAAACATCTAGCAAAGCTAAGGTACTTTATACAACCATGAGTCTTTTCTATGGCATAGATGACTCTTGGCATAGGAAGACTCATTGGTCCTTTGCAAGTACTCCAGCTTGATCTTTATGACTACCTGTCAATCGTCATCATTATTATGCTTCAACTAAGAATGGAATACTAACACCATGGTTGTATGCCTTGTAGAAACACTTGCTTGTTTCTAGATGGGTTGAGTCTCGACACAAACAATTCTTATAAATCTCTACAAAAACTTCAGAACCATGCTCTTAATTTTCACAATCTATTTTTATCTTCCGATTAACTTTATGTTGACACAAGAGTTAATTGAGTTCTCAAACATAAGTATAACAATAGGATGATTGACTACATGTCTTGATTCTCGAGCTAAAGGGTGACTTTTGTATTTGAGATAATATTATATTTTGTCTAGAACATCCTCTTAGAGAGAATTTTATATTCTATCCAAGAAAATCCATAAACATCATAACTTTAAATCTCAAGGGTTCCAATCACTTTGGTTTTTGTCACTACTTACTTCGAAACACCAACATTAGTTCATTATGGATTCGACTTCGGACTTAACTGAATTATTACTATAACTTGACCACCTGTACTTGGGTGTACATATTTTGGATCAAGTAAGTCAGCACCAACAGGTCATCATAGGGGTGTTGGATCCCCGTAAGATCTCTATTTGAGAATGAGATGAACTCTTCTTCTCCCTGCCTATGTGTCTTTGATGGGCGAGGTCATTAGGCTCCTAATTTCTGAGTTTCCTAGCATGTGCCTTCCTGGCTGAGTTGGAGTCACATCTTCCTCCTACTCCTACCGAGATTATCTGGATTTCTCCTAGGGCCTCTGCTTGCCACTTATTTCCATAACTGGCCATGTTGTATGAGGTCCTCAATATGTCTGTTAAGTTCAAAGCAATCATCAGTGTCGTGGCCATGATCATGGTGAAAATGGTAGTACTTGTTCGGGTTCCTACGATTTGGGATAGACTTCATTTTCCCCCGCCAACGTATCATAGGGTCATCCTAAATTTGGAGCAAAATATGCTCGACTGACCAATTAAGCAGTGTGAAGGCCTACCACTCCCTCAAAGGTGCAGGGTTAAGGTGGTCTTTAACTGATAATCTCTANTGAAAATGGTAGTACTTGTTCGGGTTCCTACGATTTGGGATAGACTTCATTTTCCCCTGCCAACGTATCATAGGGTCATCCTAAATTTGGAGCAAAATATGCTCGATTGACCAATTAAGCAGTGTGAAGGCCTACCACTCCCTCAAAGGTGCAGGGTTAAGGTGGTCTTTAACTGATAATCTCTCTGTCCTTTTTCCCTTATTCTCTGTTTCTCTCTTGTCCTCATGAGGGTTCCTTCCTCTTCTCCCCTTCGCTGGAGGACTCACCTCACCTGGCCTTGGTGACATCCTCAGTGTTCATATATTTCTAGGCCCTTGACAATGACTCCAGCATGCTTGTTAGTGGTTCTTCAAGACCAAAACATACATTTGGACGAATGTAGGCCTGCGATAAAGGCAGCCATGGTGACTTTGTCATTTGCCTCTTCGATCTGGAGGGCCTCCTCGTTAAAACGAGTGAGGTAGTTGCTTAAGTTTTCCTTCCGATCTTGTTTGATGCTAAGCAAGTGGGTGACTGACTTCTAATGTCGGCATCCCCTTATGAAGTGAGAGACGAATGATTTTCTTAGTTTAGCAACTAGTTTGAGTTTGGCAAACCACTAGCATGCAGATCTCTTGAGGGTGGTAGTGAAGGCTCTGCACATTATCTCGTCTAGTACATTATGCAACTGCATGAGGGATTTGTAAGTGTTGAGGTGCTCGAGTGGTTCTTTTGAACCATCATAAGTTTTCACAGTGGGCATCTTGAAATTTGAGGGGAGTGGGTAATTGACCACATCAACCACGAATAGAGTGTCAATGCACCTCACCAAGTAATCCACTATTTCCAGCGCTCGCGCCTTGATGACATTGAAGACATCGCCCAGCTAATTCTGCACCTCCTTGATTTTTTTCATTCCATTGGTTTGGGATGCCTTTTGAAGGATTGTTATAATAGCTTTCGTGGTCCATGTACTATTTTTTCCATCGTTCTCCTACATAGGAAGGTCACCAGTAAGTGACGACAGAGCCGGCACGTGAGGAGGGGGAGCTGGGGCACCTGGGCATTAAGGAAGGATACCTTGACGCTAGGGGGCTCCCTGGCACCGGGTACCGTATGGGGGGGGGCCTTGGGTGCACTGCCTAGGGGTTTCTGCAGGCCTAGGCATGGCTTCTCCTGCAATTTGTGGCACGACTCCTCTAACGGCGAGCATCAACTAGAGAATTTGTTGGGTTTTGATTCACCAATAGCTGCATTGTCTCCAATAGTTGTTGTCTAGCCACAAGATTTGCTACAGCGATGGGGTTTGCTAATGAAGGTGAGACCTTATCGCGGGGTGGTCCATCATTATCCTCCGCTACTTGTTGATTCATTGACCTAGTTGTAATAACCACATGAGAGAAAGTAAAGGCAAATTGAAGGTAGTAGAAACTTAGTCGTTTCCAATAGACGACGCCAAATTGATGATATACAATCAAATCATCGAGCATATGATGTAGGGCAATTAAAAAATTAATTGATAATAAGAGACAAAGATTTGGTGGTTGGGTCTGGGTGACCTAACCACTGAGGCGGCGACAGTGGCCGGAGAATTCTATTAATGAGAGAGTATAATGTAGTAGGAGAGAGAGAGAGAGAGAACAAAAATACACTCAAGGTGAAGTGTCCCCAGATCTGTGTAAAGTGTTTATAATTTATAGGAATAGAGCCCTGACTGAGACGGTGACGTGAAGGTGAAACTACTATTTTATCGGGGAGAATATCTATAATTGGGGATGGGTACTATCTTGAAATAATGATTATCCTAATGATTGTTCTCTCACGTGCATTAACTCTTTTTAAACTCTTGAGTTTTGGACTAGACTGACGTCGTGGGTTAAGCCTGACTTGTTTTTTGATGATTTTGGCTCAACCCATGAATTGGACCCAAGTCTAGTCAAGATTTTAATTCGTCAAAAGGTTACAATTTTTTTTCCTTGTTGAATAAAATGTACTTTCACTATTGTTATAGACTAAAATGTCAGTTTTTACACGTCTTATCAGGAACCAAGCCAACTATTCTTTCCATAGGAATCTTCCCATAGAGCATGCTATTCTTTTCATAGTATGAGTTGGAAACATTGCTTCCGTTTTGGTATATTTGTTCTTGTAACTTTTTTAAGTTAAGAAAACAATTTCGACATCTAACCGAAAATATTTTCAATCAATACATCATAACAAAATGATATGTATACAGTTTACTAATGTAAATAACACATTTCTACGTATGTGTATGCACATACTATACATACGATTGAGCTTGGAAGACTGGAATAAATCTGGATTTCAGAAAAATAAAATAAAAAAAAAAAAACGATAAAGCCAACAAAATAAATACAACTTAAAAAGTACATATAAAGAAGAAGAAGAAATAGAAATGCATATTCCGAAAATGCATTATAAACGGTTTGTCTGACTTCTTGAACTAGAAGGCCCGAACCTAGCGGTGGGGGGATGTGGGACTTGTTTTCATAAAGTCATTGGTGAATCTTTGATCTAATTAAAACCAACACCCCCCTTTTTGGAATCATACTAAAACTCTGCTCTGAGGCGAACCTGAAGATAAGTAGAAAGAATGGTTTGCTTGCAGAGTCATTATTACAAGAATTTGCTACTTCTTTTCGTTTTGCATTCAATTTTTTTTTTTCCCACCTCGTTTCCTTCATTCACTTTCTTTGTTTCTTTTCTTGAAGCTGTAAATTTCAACTTGACTACATTTCATTTAGGACATAATATAAATCACCCTCAAGGTTCACACTTACTACTTTCCGACCCTTAAATGTGTGAGATGCAAGTTAACATCAACCCCACTGTTTCCTAATTGAACTTATCAGAGCCCTGCATTACCCATCACCCTACAGGTTTATATCAACCACTTTGTCAATTGCATCATCCCTCCCTCCTCCTGTATGTGTGTGTGTGTCTGTGTAATGAAGGTTTCACGAACTTCAGCATTTAAACAAGACCGTGAATGCTTGGTGCACTGACCTATCATGTAAATGAATCTATCAGTTACATCTGAATTACAACAAAATACAAAAAAAAAAAAAGGTATGTAACAAAAAATAGGCCAGGCGACATTGAGTGGCTACCAAAATGTAGTTCTGCGTAGGCTGATTACACTTTACCTGCCTTTCTTTTTTTACTTCCTAACATAATTTTTTTTTTCTTTGTTCTTTTTCCTTTTTTCTTTTGCATACTTCGACTATTTCCATTTCTTCCCATATACAAAGATACAAGAATGAATTCATGACTGATTTCATGGGTTATGCTGTGTGTCAAAAAACTCCTACTCTTCCCTGACTCAGTATATGACAACTCGGAGCAGCCCTGGCTGTGGCTCAGAGTAGTCAAGGCCTTCCTCCTCAAGCAGGTAGCGCTGGACGGCAATTGGAAGCCTGGCCGGTGTGCGAGAACCCCTAGTGTGATGGCCCGTCCCAACACATATAAAAACCTGCAGGCATTGATCCGCTGACCTAGCTGCACTCCGCAACATAGTAAGCTCACGCTTCAGGACATGAATGGCTTCACTAACATGCAGCCCATGCAGGTCTATTATCCTCTCCTGCCCTCTCCCATTCCCCTGCATCTCTGGGCTAACTGGGTTCCTGTAAAATGATAATAAGTTTGGTAATTAGAGTGAAAATGAATGAAAATGAGTTTGGTAATTAGAGTTTTACTGTAAATTAGAAAAGTGGCTAAAGGAATTATTCACAGCATTTTCCGTGACACCTGATCTATATATGAGCACAGAATACTGTCATCATCTGACGAACTAGGGCATCTCCATAAAAGATAATGGTTGCCTATATTGTGACATGGCAGCATTGCCAATGTTGGTGGGGCAGAGACCCATGATTGCATAAGCTTGTAAAAAAACATGCACATGTCAAACAGATAATAAAGAGGAGAGAAGATATGGGAAAGTGATAAAACTAGTGAAGATTCAAATTGCAGGGTTGAATGAATGATCAAAGACATTATTAAATGATGATACAAAGCCCGTGTCTTAGTCAGCTAAGTGAGAAATAAATGGTTCGAGAGCAGGCATGGGACAACAAACCTTTGGCGATAAATAGATTCTTGAGCTTTTCCATGAGCTGCCTTCATCTGCATGTTGTGCAGCTGCCCTTTTACGCTCAGTTCCTTAGCCAAAGCCTTGTTCCCAATGAGGTATGCCTGTCGTGCCTGTTTCAATGTATGTAAAAATTTTTTTTTTTTTTGTTCAGAAAGGACACAAAAAAGTTATAAATAATTTACTTGGGAAAAAGGGGGGGAAAATTAGTGGTAAAAAACAAGTGGTCTAGAAGATAAATGATACGACAGTAAAAATAAGAAAATAAGAACAGGGGTCCACTAAAAGTGTAATGCTATTGAACCTACAAAACTGACCTAATTTGCTGACCTTGACATAGTCTAATAGTGTTGTTGTGACTATAACTCTTGGACTTCTTCATTGGGATTCCATGACTTGACACATCATTATTAATAGTAAGGACATCAAAAAGAAAATACTTGATGGTCTAATAGTAGGGGGTTTCATATACACTCTTACACTTAGAAGTGCAAAATCCCTCCAGCATTTAGCAGCCAGATATACACAAAGAGAACATGTCTTTAGCAATGAACTTCATAGGAGTATTTGCCAAGTACTTCAGCAACATGCTCCTCTAATGATTTCAATTGTTTAGTGTTCACCCTGTAAACAGTCCAAAATCTTGATTGCCAGCTCAGAGATTATGGAAATTGACCTAACCTAACACTCTTGAGATTAAAATGGTTTTTTGTTTTTCTTTATTTTCCTTCTTCATTATTTGGTTTGTCAGGAGAGAAAGAGAAGGAATAAAAAAAAAAGAGAAGGGAGGGGGAGGGGGAGGGGAAGAATTGAGCACCAAGAACAGCGAAGTCTATCTTTAGGAAATTACAAACATACCTGTTCAAAGTATGCATTACGTAAGCGTGCATGGTCACGAGCTTCCTCCCTCTTCTCAGAATAAATATTTGCTGCGATCTCAACAAAGTTAAAGCATTTATAAGTGCAGAAAGCATATGTTCCACAGTTAAAGGTTCATAAAGCAAGTTAAGTTGTTGCCTCAGAAATATTACCCACTGCTTCTCCAGTTTCGAGCCAGACAGGAGCTGCACGAGCTGAACTCCGACTCTGCAACCTTTCACCATAAATGCCCCTCCCCTGAACACCATTGTATGAGCTAGCCAAGATGTGTGAACTTCTACTTGAGGCAACACTAACATTTGCTGACCGATTTGTATCAGATTTCCATATATCTGAGTCATGAGACGCCATTTTCCTGACAGCAGAAGCAAAATCCACAGCACTCCGGGATGGAATTGAAGAGCTTGATTTGAACAAAAGCATGTTGTCCTTTTCAGAAGACCGAAAAGGACTAATGTTTTGTTGGAGATCATCCATGGCAAATTTCTGCACGCTACTCTGACCATCAGCCAAAGGAAGTGCAGGAAAATCCAGTGCACTAAGATTTGGAGTTGACAAGGCCTTGGAGTTCAGGTTCTGGTTCAAACCACCATCGACTTGGAGCTACAATCAAAGATAAAATGTACTCTTGAGCACCTCTAGATTGGAAGAAGATCCAGAGGAATCACAGAATAATAGGCTTATAGCATATAAAATCTGAAAATCTCTTATGGAACCTAGAGTGGAAGATTGTAAACGTTGTCCTTATACAGCTATGAGTTCAGCTTATTGCAGGAAATATCATACATGACTAACATGACACAGTCTCCAACAAAGAGAAGAAAATAACAAGAGGAGCACAAATCGTCTATAGCATGGTTCAAGGACGTTGGTCGTGGTATCAGCGAGGGTCGTGGGCAGGGCTCGACGTTGCAGAATGGTATCGGGCAACATGACCAAAAAGATGTCCAATATTAGGAGTGATTCGGCCCAAATCGCGGCGTCATGGAACAATATTGCACAATTAGGTGGCAATAACTTGACAACTCAAGGTTGACATGGAGACTTCTTGGACGACTCGGCCAAGTCTTCTGACCCTCGTGTTTATACATAACGTGGAATGGAAATGGATCAAAAGTGTCAAGTCGGATACAACTTTACGACTTTCAATTAGAATCATCAATGCTCTTTCAGCCAGAACACAACAATGCTGCTAGTTCTATGTTATAAAAAAAGATTTCATCATGTGAGCTATTCCATCTCAGCCTCCCCATCTAGGTCGTCTGTCCAAGAAACCAGAAGCAAACATATGACCTAGAGTTAGACTGAATACCCCAATCCTATATGGAGAGCGAACTGTGCCCAGTCAGCAGAAGGCCTCGGAGGGATTGCTTTCCACAGTTAGCATTGAACAAAGCACCCAACCAGTTAGAACTTGATCTGCTAAAAATCTTAAAAGATTTGAAACAACATTTTCCAATCATTACATTGATTGCAGTAACTCAGTTCAGATGTGTCTGTATCAAAGTAGTGATAGAAATTAGAAAGAACTGAAAGCATTGAACAACTTCAAAGCACGTCATATTTTTTGTTTCATTAAAGATAATCACAATGAGTGAGTACCGAGAAATACAAAATCTTTAGTCATTAATGAGAAAATCAAACTACTAATACTCACATCTTATGAAGATCAATCTTTATGAATTTTCCAATTGGGATTTCTGCTGGCAATGCATTTGTCACGAAAATATTCAGTACTTACATCGCAAAGCAGTGAAAAAGCATAACCTAAAATGGGGATGACGAGGATGGAGGAGCTTTGTTACAAGTAAAAGAAAAAAAATGAACGCAAGGGAGGAAAGAGGTAGCCTGAACTGAAGATAAATTAAATGGAGTTCGCCGAGGTGATTTTAGCAGTGTGCAGCATGGACCACCTAAGCAATTGATAAGGAAATGTTTGATTCATGTTGAATGCTCCAAGAAGGACAAGCCAAAAAAAAAAAATGATAAGTACTGAAAAAAAGGACATCATAACTGGGCTATGGCGAAGGATAAGGCTTAATATAGAGCCACCTTGAAAAGGAGAACACATAAAATCAGATGGCTGTCGTCGAACTTGTCAAGTTGATGACCGTATCAATAAAGATCTTCCAAAGGTTTCATATTTAGGATGATAATTCATAGTATATTTCACCTAATCATAGGTTATGATTACAGATATCTCATCTCAATGATCATTATCCTTTTTGTTCTGGAATGATATTTCCTTTAACGCGATTCCTGAAAATCCCAATGCTAACCTTAAGTCGGAGTAAGGCAACAAGTCAACATGTGTAGTTTAAGATATATGTGCACCGTAGACCTAGCAGTTTCAAGAATATCATATTTCTGCAATTAATTTTGCTCAAAAACGGAAACACCTAAAGACTGGGAGTATCTTGTTAGTTTGACAATTAAAATCAGATGCAAACTCACTCAACCAAAGATGAGAAAATTGAGCATACCTCCAGCTGAGTCAGCATTTCAATGGTGAGGTTCAAGTCACCTTTATTGGCAAAGTACACCTCTGCAAGGCTTTCAGCAGCAAAACCAGGGAATTGAGAAGCCAAAAACTCGAGAGGATTCATGTCTATACTTTCCACCATGGCTTGTTCATTTAACATGTCATTTAGGAAGCCTTGTCTAGAAGTTCCATTGTAAGGAGACCCCTCTCTAACACTCATGTGAAGCTGATCATTGTTCACAATTTGCTTGTCCCATGGTTTTGTAGACAAATGATGAAAACCAGCTGAAGAAGGAGCTTCGCAATAGGATGAAACAGAATACCTCATCTTCTCTGAAAAGCTGTTACCATTGATCTGATGAGGAGATAACTCCTGCTGCTCCTTCAACATAAAGCTACTGCCAGTTGAAGCAGAGTACCTTGAGGTTTCATTGACATCGGTCAAGGATAACCTTGAAAAAGGGATGCTATTTGTTTCTTGAGAATCATTTTCTCCCATGACATTAAAGTCGGGAGTGATATCATCAGGGAGTTGGCGACGCCAGTATTGGTGGGCCTCATCATCTGAGCTATTTGAAACAGATGACTCCGATCGATCTAGGGCAAGTTTTCCTAATGTTGAAGTGCCAGATGCAGGAAAAGTTGACCCTGCATCTGTGGTACCAGCGCTTGGTAATCTGAGAGCAAAAGGAATGAATTCTGCAGCATTTGGATTCAAAGAGGTGGTTTTGCCTGTAGCAGTTAGCTTTTTGTCGTTGGTAAAAGACTCTTTGTTGGACAAGCTCATTCTTCAACAGAAAAGGGACATGCATATAAAATTTGGAAGGAGAAAAACTGCAAAATTGCAGCAGTTGTCAACCAAAACCTGCATAACAAACTTTTTAAAGTCACAAACCTTCATTTGTGGTGCACAACATGCTGTGCATTCAACGTGGCAATTTCAAACCAAACACGACAAATCCAAAGAACCTTCTTTTGTGGTGCACAACATGCTGGATTCAACATGGCAATTTCAAATCAAACATGACAAAAACCGACAGCCTAGTTTGAACAGAACTCGGTTCGGAAAACTTCGCCGCATACTGGCATGCAAACTTAATATCGCCACCCTTACTTAATAGGGATACTAATAATAGCAATAATAGTGATAATAATGATAACACATTCAGATAATATCAAGAATCATTTGATACCAAAGGTGGTGCACTAAAGGTGGTGAATCAATAGGACATCACAGACCTTACAATTCAATCGCATTGTCAATTTTGAGTACCCTTAATATAAAAAAAGCAATGCTATTGGCACCTAATTTGTTGACAAACAGTGCATTTGGTAATGTTTTTTGTTTTTGTGTTTTCAAAAAATAAAAAATATAAATAGTTTTTTGTTTTTTCAACGGTAAAAACTAAAAAGAGAGAACATGTTTGATAGTCATTTATGTTTAAAAAATTATGAAAACAAAAATAAAAAACACGTTTGGTATTATAGTGTCTCCATAGTTCATTGTCATCACCTTAATTTGCAAGTTGTCATCACCTTAATTTGCAAAAGTCAACACAATTTAACAAGAGGCCGATCAAGTCAAAAGAATCAGTTACTTAAAACAAAGAAACCATAATGCGCACCAAATATTGCATTAAATATACACCAAAACACACATCTATAGAACCATACACAAACAAATGAATTCCAAACCGGAAAGAATTTACAAAACATCTTCAAACCCCAAGATGATTTACACAATAGACCAAGATTGGGACACAGATCTAATTAAAGTATAATAATTTAGAACCAAAATCCTCCTTAAATTATAATATATAACTCCTTAAATTAGAACCCCAAATTCCAAATTCCAAATTAGAAAAAAACAAAAGAAACTAACCGCAAAATCATTCCAAATCAAGCATTCAAATAAGTCGACGTCATGGGAAAACTAAGTTGGCCTCATAACAAAACCTTGCATTTCTTCAACCAAAAAAAATCAAGAAATTTTCGTCAATATAAGTCAACTGAAAATTAAAATTACAGAAAAATTAGACCGAGAGGGAAGAACAATAAATTTGGAGAACACAGAACGGATTACAAGATCTGATGGTAGCAGATAAGTTGTATATATACCTTCGAGAAGTTCCATAATGATTGAGGAAACTAAATGGCATGGATCCATAGGCGTAGATGAAGATGAGATAAAGATGAAGAGAAGAGGAGATAAAGATGAAGAGAAGAGGAGAGAAAGAGTACACAGAAAAGAGAGATGATTTTGCTTCGAGGCCTGAGCTTTGGCCCTGCTGTTTCTATCTATCTCAGCTCCAGGCTTTCATCTCTCTCTTTGCCTCTCTCTATCCGGTGTTGTATTTTCTTTTCTGTTTATCTTTTTATTTTCTCTTTCGAATCCGCTTCGCGACCACAAAATAAAAAGAACAAACTCAAGCCTTCGCCCCTCTCTCTCTCTCTCTCTCTCTCTCTCTCTCTCTCTCTCTCTCACACACACACACACACACTTGACCATCTTACTCTAACATGCTTATTTACTCAAGCCTTCACCAATACCGTGATTAAAGTAAATACATATCATAATATGAAGAGCGGGAGCATGGATGGGTGAACATGAGTGTGGATCACAAAATTTAGAAATATTTTAGTGTTAGAGTACCTTGAAAGAATTATATTATACATATATATTAGTAATTGTCTTTGTCTAAAAATATTGTGTTACTCGTAAAAAATGAACAAAAAATTCTACAAAATAACAACACATATACAAATACATCAGAAAAAAAATACTAATAGAACCAAATCAAATTTACAAACTGAGAAAAAATATATATATATATATATCAACTAAAATTTAAAAAAAAAATTCTTCAATAATATAATGCAATGGGCCAAATTTGGAAAGCAATTGCCCTTACAACCAACAATTGCCCAAGTGTTGAAACCCACGAACAAAAGTTAACCTATCCTAAAAATTTCAACATCATCAAATTAATACCACTTTATGATTTACCAAACAAAGAGACAAATTAAACTATACTTTTATAGCAAACAGTGCTCAATGCATCACCAAAAAAGTATACTAAAAATTACTATAAATCAAGCAAGAATGTAGAGAGAGCAAAAGAAAATCATTTGAAGGGCAAAGTGTAAAAAATGAACTAAGCATATGATCAATCAATCCCAAATCAGAATAATGCATCTCCAAAAAATTATACTAAAAATTAGTATAAATCAAGCAAGAATGTAGAGAGAGCAAAAGAAAATCATATGAAGTGCAAAGTGCAAAAAATGAAACACAGAACATTCATGTGAAGAGAATAACATATGTTTTAGGCCTGCCAGAAAATGATAAAATTTATGAATATGCACTTTATTGCAAATTGTCAACCAACATGCTATTTGTATCATATTAGCTTTAAATTAACATTGAAAAAGGGCTACATTTTACTTATTTTCATTTCAGTCACATCCACATCCATCTTGAGAAAAATTACATCAGGCACAGNTATGAATATGCACTTTATTGCAAATTGTCAACCAACATGCTATTTGTATCATATTAGCTTTAAATTAACATTGAAAAATGGCTACATTTTACTTATTTTCATTTCAGTCACATCCACATCCATCTTGAGAAAAATTACATCAGGCACAGTGTAAGCAAACCCAGCTAAAATTGGAGACATGGAGTGGCACAGTCAACACCATGAAGCTGCAAAATCCACGAACACATGTAAGAAAGATAACATAAATGTATTTGACATTTAAGACAAATGAATAATTGATAAGCAACCAATAGTTGGCTATAAGGACAAAGAAACTCACATAACGTATCAATACAAAATAGAACTATGTCCAAACAGGCTACTAAGTTCCACCCTATTCAAACATTTAAGAATTCTACCCATTCCAGAAAAGAAAATTATAGAGATAGTCATTCAGGGAAACTTTTTTTCCTTGATGCAAAACAACAAACACTTTGCGATCATATACAATATCCAGTCATCTTAACTCAACCTCAACATCAAACAAACATAAAATTGAACAAACTTGAAACACCAAGTCTAAGCAAAAGAAACAAACTGTAACATATAACAACAAATAGTAATAACACATAATATGAAAATAGAAATTGATAACTAATGCTAATAGCAAAAAACATGTCTCAATATGAACTATGAATTGTGCTCAATATCAAATAATTAATAACTAATGCTAATACTAACTNAATGAACAAAAAATTCTACAAAATAACAACACATATACAAATACATCAGAAAAAAAAAATACTAATAGAACCAAATCAAATTTACAAACTGAGAAAAAAAAATATATATATATATATATCAACTAAATTTNAATGAACAAAAAATTCTACAAAATAACAACACATATACAAATACATCAGAAAAAAAATACTAATAGAACCAAATCAAATTTACAAACTGAGAAAAAATATATATATATATATATCAACTAAATTTANTATTTGAGGACCATCACACCCATCCCCTAGCATCCAAAGGAGATCAACTCCAGGGGGTAGGGAATTATAATTGAACACAAAGGGCAGTGACAATCTAATCAAATTTCCCAAAAGTGAAATTCAATTACTTACCGGGGAAAAAAAAGATATTACCAGCGTGAAGGTTCAATACAATATAATATAGAAATTGTCAGGGTTCCATTGGAATTCGCCACCTCAGCAAGGGCGTTGGAGTAGCTTTCTGCGGCGGAGTCGCCCATTCTGGCACCGTGACCGCGGGCTCTTCCGGCTAACTTTGACGGTGATTTTTGGGAGTTTGAGTGACTTGAAACCTCCAGAAAATGAGAGGTTTGTTGTTTTTCTGGCTATAGTACACACGTCATAACTATGTACTCAAAGTGAAAACCTCAAATTATGCAATTCTTTTTTTTTTTTTGGACAGATTAGCTAGAACAAAAAAAGACAATCATCAAGCCACAAATTTCACATTCAAATCAAAACTCTCTACAACAACCAATAACAATCAATCCAGATTAAAAAAAAAGACAAAAACCATAATTACCACCAAATTGGCTATAACAATTTCAAATGCAAATAATACATCAAAAAAGGATAATTTGAAGAACAAATATGAAAATAATGAACTAAACATATCAAGTAGAAAGAAATTTAAAAAAATAAATCCAATAAAATCAAGGGAATGGGACCTGGATTCTTGGGTTTCAAATGGAAGCTGCCTCACATACAATCCAACCCGATGATTTGCCATCAATAGCTTTGCTCAAACAGACGACGTGGCCGGTGACGTTCTGGTTGAAGAGAAAAGTTAAAAAAATCTCACACTAACACAAAGACCCGTCAGATCTAACCGTATAAGGTCCCAAAACTGAATCCATAACAAAAAATCCTCAAACTAATTCCTGTATGGGCTAAGAATTGGGTTAACAACGCATTACACAAAAAAATAAATAATAATAGATCATGATTAGAAAACATAGCAATGCGAACCTGACTTCGACTTTGGCTTTGGCTTTGGAGATGTGAATGATACAAAAAAAACCGATAACACGTTCTCTGTCAATATCACCACCAACCCCTTTCCTCACTCCCCTAAATCTTTCTTCAATAAATTAGAAAAAGTACCCGAATTATGAGGTTTAAAATTTCAAGAAATAAAATCTAAACCATTATGACAAATGAAAAGCCAGAAAGTTCTGAAAATTACACATAACGCACACAATTAGTAACTGGGCAGTGGAGAGAGAAGTAGCGAGAGGGCAGCGGTTAAGGACAATTGGTTTCTT